CTACAACCGAATCAATACTAGTTTAGATATCGTATACACTGTTTTGGAAAATACTCATTTGCAATTTTATATTCATGTCTTTAGAAATTTTATTTTTTCTTTCGCTTCTCTAAACGTTATTTACATTTCAAACTTCTTATATTTTATCCTAAACATCTGAAACTATCATTTAAGCTAACAAAATGATTTACAGTATCTTTAATATATATTACTGTTATATTTATATCATTATTTATATATATTTAATATATTATATATAATATATTATTTTTTTATATTATTATTATTATAAAAAAATATATATATATTATATATAATATATTAACGAGTTATATATATAGGAAATATAACTCTTTAATATATTATACATTTTCTTACATAAATTTTATTTTTACATATACAGATTTGCATTGAGAACCCTGAGGCAATTCGGTTTCGGAAAGTACTCGATGGAGTATATACTTCAGCAGGATGCGAGTGCATTAACAAATATGATAATTCAACTAACGGCAAATGGGACGCCGATTAACATTGGTTCCCTTATTTGCATTGCCGTCGTTAGCCATATTTGGTTTCTACTGGAAGGGACGAAGTACGTAGTTACGCATACAATATTACATATAATGATATGTGATAATAATGATTGACATAAAAACTATCTCCGGGATTTCAAATTGTGTCTGTCGTTCCAATGTGCAGATTCGAAGTGGGTAAAGAGACTCCTCAATTAAAAGAAGCGATAAGTGTGTTGAAAGATTTGCTGAGGACTGGAAATATTTCTGGTGGCATTGTCAATCATTTTCCGTTTCTCAGACACATTTTCCCCCATCTGACGGGATACAGATTGTTCGAAGAGAGACAGAGTCGTATAAATAAATTCTTCCTAGTAAGTTGTATAAAAACTATTCGTAATGGCGCATTCGACTTTTTCTATATCTAACAATTAAATAATTTGTTAAAGCTAAGAAATAAAGTAATCCTCTCTCTTCCAAGTTTAAATTGTTCATTGGTCTAAAATTATTATTAATCGTATAAGTAAGATCATTTATTTACACGATTTTCCTGCTTTGTTGTTTTTTATAATCTTTTCATGGAGCATATTACTAATTATTATTATTAGATTATAATTACTAATATTGCATATTACTAATTATTATTATTAGATTATAATTACTAATATTGCATATTACTAATTATTATTA